GTGCCTTACTTATTTTTTTAGTATTTATTACACCCGTACCTTGCCACGTCTAAATTTTGTTGCCTTAAACGGTGCAATGCACAAATTGTAAGGATATTTCTTGTGGAATTAAAACTATAGGTGAAAAAAAAATATGTAAATGTGAAAGATTTATTATATTAATTTTGTTGCTGCTTGGTGTGAGTGTCGAGCGATCAGTATAACTGAAGTAACAATAAAAGACATACCCAGTGCCGTAGGGCAATTGTATGGCTGTATATTTTAAAATCATTTAATTTCTATTTCCTTACACTTTTAAAGAATGACTCGTTCTCCTTGGTACCATATAACGAGAAAGACAGGTATATACTAACATCCTTTTTACTTCGTTTCTGTAATAATCTCTCTATAGGAGCCGCATAATCATATCTGTATCGACCCTTGTGGAAAGTTTGTTTCAAAAAGTTTACGAAAAAGCATCCGTTAACTTTTTTTATTTAATTACATAGTTAATATTTCATTTTGATAAAACATTTCTTAAAGGATTACGATTTATCCTTCAAATTTATGGGTCAAAGTTTCATTCATAATTTAAGTGTCATTGTATATATGATAAAGTGCATACAGGCAGTAAAGTGATATGCAAAACATCTGCATTTCACAAGGATTTGGCTCGAGCCATAGTGTTTGTGCAAACGCTACCATACCGCTGTAACTTGGAGAAATTCAGCGTGAAATGAATGACTTGGCAGAACATTGATGTATTAAAGAAAATCTGTAAAGGAACTCGGATAAACACACTGTATGGAGTATTATATCGGTAAATATTGACTCTTTGATTAAAATTAAGTGACAGTTGATATACCACAAAGCGTGTATCTGGTTTAACCGCTGTGGTTACCGGATTAAAGGATGTATTTTGACCTCCGCGTATATCAAACATTTGATAGGTTTATCTAAAATCTTTGGTCAATACCAACTGAGTCTATAGGGACCACCCTTGTGCGAATATCAACATGTTTTGAAAGATACTGCACTAAATAGTATATACATAGAAATCCTTTATTTTCAATATTTAAGTCTGTATTAAAGGCAATCTCCTTCTCAAAAGTAATTCAGAGATTATTTGACCAGTTATTACAGAAACTTAAGGTACCTGCGGAAAGACTCTTATCAAAAATAATCATCAGCAAAATCAATGCTGTATTTTGCTTATTTTGCATTTCCTTCTAAATGTCGCGTAATTTCTTCTTAAAACTTTTATTTAGAAACATTTTAGTCTATTTTTATGACTCATTTCAAGAATTAATTAAGGGTATATCTTTTGTTTTCTTCTTATGAAACCGTTTAAGAAAGCGTATTACTTCAAATTAGCGCATTGTTCGTAATAGGTCAATTATGTTTATATTTCATAGCGACATATTTTAAGAATTCAAATCAATATATACATCTTAATAAATACTTTCAAACAATTGAATGTTTCTATTTAAGGAACTCAAATTGTCCTACATTTTCTTAAAGGGTATAAACCTAAATTGACTTTTGCAATTAGTAAAATGGTTGTTTGTTTTCGCGTAGAAATCATACTAAAGTATCAAAATTAAAATATATACATAATGTTTGTTTATCCCATTACTTCATGAGCATTTTGTGTAAAATGGCTGTTTTCATTGAAAAGTCTCCCGTTACAAGTTCAAATTGCTATTATACTATAAAAACTGCTTCAACACTAATCAAACCTTGGCACAAATGTTGACTGGACCATTGCCCCTGAAACAACATGCTCAGGTTTAAATTTTCTGTTACCATGGCAACAAGGGGACATCTCAAAGTTGCCAAAAATCACTATTTTGCGTTGATTTTTTCCATCAAAATTGATTTCAAAGTGCTGCAATATCTCAATGGATTGAGATAGAGTCAAATGCTTTTGCAGTGTTGGTTACACGTTACCTTATGATCAATCTGGGGTCATTTATAGCATCTCACAAGTCCAAAATTTTCTTGGCGATGAGGGACACCGCCCCTCTTCAAACCCCCCCCCCCCCCACAGAAGGGGGCACATCCCCCTTCTGGCAACCCCCTGATGTATCTTTCGGTTGGGGGCCGCGCCGAAAAAGTGGTTACTTTTTTAACAACATTTCTCAAACAAAAACACAGTGTTGGGCCTAAATAAGGCATTTTTTCACCAATTTGAGACAAACAACAAAAAGGGAGGGTGAAAAGGCGTAAAACGGCGTGTATATCGCGTAAATGTCTGATAAAGAGGGGTCGCGTGCGCGTTTCATCGGTCAATTGTTCTAAAAAAAGAATAAATATGTTACTAAGGAGCGTTTCATTTCGTTTCCATGTAAACTGCTGAAACTCTCTCCAGATATAGCCATTAAAGAATATGAATTGAAATTTTTCGAATTTTTGTAGTATGTTCCGAGAACCATAGCTTTATAACCTTTTAATACAAATAAGACAGCTGTAATTCTGAATGGTTCGTGTCGTAACATACAACAAATGCAACATCGATTTAGATGGTTTTACCGTCCATAAATAAAACACGTTAAATAAACACTTGTTATTGCTGACGGTGTTAAAGCCGTCGCCTTCTGGGAGGAGGGTAAAAGAAAGCGGAAATCGCGGTACTTCAACTTTCGACATGCAAGGGCACATATAAAAGGCGGCTTCATTGAAACATACAAAGCAAAGGTGACGCTATTAATTGATTTTCCATTGTATGAACATTACGAATACATTAATAATCATTTCAAATATTTAATTAAGTCTGAGTTTATGAAATAATTTAAGCAGATTATCATAATCCCACAACAATCGGGAGGGGGTCCAACTTAATCAAGCGAAGTGGTAAAGCTATAATCTGCGAGATTTATTTTCAATACTTCAAAAGCCATTCGATTATATTCTGTTTACATGTTTGCAGCATTGTGTTTGTAACAATTTTCGGCTGTTTGTGGGTATATTTGCTGTAAGCAATACAATGCATTAATCGGCTTTCTTTCTCTCGCTTATAGAACAAATATTTCAACAAAATGTTAAACTTGTGCCAAAAAATTAGGAGCGGACGTTGTTTGGTTTAAAGTAAACTTTCTACTTGAGTAAAAATCTACCCGTATCGGTTTCACATGAGGATGTTTTAATCAAATAACCAGTGTGACTTACATCCATTTGCGAAAACGGTAGGGTTAATTGAATAATCACACATTTCGGTAGATGTTTTTATATTTTCATCACTTCACGAGAAGGTTAAAAGTGCAATGTGTTAATTAAATTATTGAACTCTTTATTTGAACATGTCCGTTTTAATAGATCAAACGGTGATACCATAAAAACGAGGGATATCATTTTCGTAAAAGGTGTGTCTCTGAGAATAACAGTCGATAGAAAATTGTAAGCATCAAAGCTAGGAGAAATTGTGCGTGAAATAATCACATAGTCTTAAATCATACATTTTGAAAGGACGTATATAGATAAAAACGATTCTTCTAACAGGTTGGAATAAAAGGAAATATTTTGTTCATTAATAATAGATATACCTACACAGAAGCGGTCGTCTGCTAACAATTTCAGAAAAGAGGTAATGGGACATTGATGCCTAAATGATAGTTTTGCACGTGCGTAACTGATGTTGCTGTTAGTGAATTATGTTTCAGTTTGATGAGAATTTAAAAAATATTTAAATTTTTAACTAATTAAACGATTACTCATTGTCGTTCACTAGTATATACATATTTGTACATATTGCAAGTTCGATTCAAGCAAATGTGTTTTTTTTACTGGAATGAACTTTTACTCCTTGTGCAAACTATAAATGGTTTGTAAGGTATGGTTTTCAAAAAATATATATGATAAAATAAGCAAAAATATAAGAAATAATTATTATAAAATACATAATAAATAGAAAAAGTGAGTTTCAATTGAACGTTCTTAAAATGATCTATTTCAATAAATAACTATCACTTTCGTTAATTATCAAAATCATCCAGTTTCAAAACTAGTATTCAGTATCCTTACATACAATATTTATTGTATTCATTATTATACATCATGATAAAATATAGGTGTTGACGCTTGTTATATGAGCCGCGTCACGACAAAACCAACATAATGGGTTTGCGACCAGCATGGATCCAGACCAGACTGCGCATCCGCGCAGTCTGATCAGGATCCATGCTGTTCGCTATCATTTTCTCTACATGTTATAGGGTTTGTAAGCGAACAGCATGGATCCTGATCAGACTGCGCGGATGCGCAGGCTGGTCTGGAATCATGCTGGTCGCAAACCCATTATGTTGGTTTTGTCATGACGCGGCTCATATGTATCTAATTTTTGCCCTTCTCTTTGTGTCCATCTGAAAAAACGGTTAAGTGAATATATACATTTGCCATTTATTGATTTGTTATCATGAAATCGATAATATTGACACCAAAGTGAAATAAATACATCAATGAATCATTGTTTTATTGGTCTAATGTCACATCCAATCGATGACATTCTGATCTCTTCGTTAACGGACACTTAACACTTAGTTATATAGTACGTCTTCGAACAGTATGGTAAAGGGATTTGTTTAAGTGGCAGTTGCTTGTCTGGCGTTCACGTGGAGTAAATACATTTGTGCATGTGTAATTTTAGGACTTTGATGAGTAGAAAAAAAAATCAAATTTTATTTTATTTTATCGTAAATATGATGATGTATCAATATTTACTCTCTTATTTTATTATTTTAAGTTGAGCAATATACGCAACACAAGAAAATGTTCCGACGTTTTATGAATGATTTAGTTATATTATTTGGGTACTTACTTATTAATTTCAAGAGTGCATTTGAGGTTTATATATAGAAATATCAATCTTATTCTTTTTTTCGTCGTAAATCAATTTTTGTATTCGTTTTGTATTAAGTGTTTATTCATAAATTTTAAAAGTGCATCACAAGATCGAACGTTTGTTTATTATTCGTAACTCCAGTTCAATCTATTTCCATTATTATCATATTTTTTTTTAATTTCAGCAGTTCATCATCGACTGTGATCAGATAGAAACAGTTTCGTCTTCATGTGAAGAGGTTACACACATTTCCATTCAATGAATTAAAATGTGAGAGTTAAAAGGGTGCAATAGTTGAAGCCCGCTGATAGAAAGTGAAAAGATCTGTGATAAATAACATTGTTAACTATATTACATATTAAAGAAATTCGAATTTTCCGTGGATCAAATAAATGAGATTAGCAGTTTTAGTGGATTTCACAAAACTTGCGTTATCGGGGCGATCAAGTGTGGGATAAAGAGGGGATTTGAAAGGAGGAAAAATAATGCGTTTCAAGTGACATGAATATCGGATACTTACATGAAAGTTTACAGAAATGTTCGGATTACGGGTTCCAGTAGCGAAATCTTTGGCTACAACAGAATTTGACGGAGTACAGGCTATACTTTATAACAGGTAGTTTAAATTAGATATACATGTATTCACATACATGTATTTGCATTATTTTAAAACTTTAGTTAAAAGTTTTGATCGGGAATTAAATGAATAACGCATACGTTAATATAATATTTCATAGAAAAATGAGTAAAAATTTTTAGTAATGTTTAAAAACAAGTATAATTTTCATCACAAAGAAGTGACATAAAATAATGGTTACAAATAAAACTACTTTTTATGTTTCTATCACGGTTTTTATTATAGCCGTGTTTTTTTTTATTATTCGTTTATTCTATCATTTTCTTTATTAAACAAATATACAATGCATAATTATTTGAAATTAATGTTATTGAAAGCAAGAGATAGTTTTACATTTTGTGGGGGGGGGGGCAACATCATCATCATCATCATCAACAACAACAACAACGATATAATATCGGAAATAGAGTAGTAACATCAGCCGCTCAAAATTATTCTGAGAAATCGCTGGTTACAATAAACTAAACTTTAAACCTTCAATTTATAAAATGAACTGATTCAGCTTCTATTTTTTGGAATTGTGCATTAGAAATTTTGGGGATATCACGTTTAGTTAAAAGTCCGGTCAAATTTCACGGCTATTCAGGCAGGCTGACCTGGCTCTATACTGGTGACAAAGGCTACTCACTTCTGATTTTAGCAGCGTCAGCATTAAAGAATTTTAAGGACGACAAATTTTCAGGGGATATATATTGTAACAGTCAAACATCAATTTACCATGTCTCTTTGCAAGGCCAGTTTGATTAAACATTGCTTCGACTAATGATGTTGGCCATCCGCTGCGACGAGTTATGTAACACTGGTCTTTCTTTGATATAGTAGACCTCAGATACAATACAAAGATGTTTCATTCTAATATGAACACTTCATTTGACTTTAAAATTTGATATTTTCATATGCTTTTTTTGTCTCTGTCCTGCACCCGGATGGAAAAAAGATAGTGAAAAGTGGAAATATTAAAGGTTCTCCCACACGGCCAAACTGAATGTATAGCAGGCTTGGTTTTTTACTGAATATGTTCATGGAGAGCGAAAATGGTAAATGTATGTTACGGTCCATGCCCCAACCCCTCCCTAGCACCGGCTACAGCAGGTTTAACCTATAAATTGTAAATATAGAGAGTTATTAATGTATTAAAATTTAGAATTTAGAACTGGCTACATGTTGTGAACACTAATTCACATACAGTTTATTAGTGTTCATGACGTAGGAAAATGAAAATATCTTTTAGAATAGGTCTTTAAAAAATATTAAATGGCGGCTTACTTTAATTCTGCATAGCAGGCATATATTTGATTTTTTTCGACTACAATGTGGTAGCTTTTGAATTTTGTGTCAAATCATGTAGCAAATTAAACCTCACACTGCTACAGGAAAATCCAAAGACAAACAAACCAACTATTGAAATCTAAGCAAAAATGAAAAATGCATTTTTCGTCAACAATGCATTGAAACATAATGAATGTGGTTTTTGAAACCTTATATTGCAATTTAAATATTGACACATATTAGTGTCAGATTTTTGTAAAGTGTTTTCACAGTTCTGTAATGAAGTGATCGCAAGATTCAATAGATGTTGTGTATGTAAGGTACACGTTGATTGGTCGACAATCACTGTCGGTGACTGAAGTGTTAAGGACTGTCCGGTTGGCAGCTGCTGACATCTGTATGATTGTATAATTAGGCAATATCTGGATGGGAACTTTACTCTATGCCAAGAAGTAATTGACAGTTATAGACTATTGAGAAAATTTTAAATAAATAAAAAAAACTCTGACAATTCATATTTAAAGAATAATCAATATTGAAAGAATGTTATTTTAGTTTAGAAATAAATGATATTTTATTGCAATACAAACATGTTATATATATAGATAGAGATATGCAAGTTTCAAGTTTCTAGTGTCGTAGAATAGACAGAGTATATTGTTCGTTGAACATTGTTTTTTTTCTTCTTTTTTCTGTCTGGTCTAAAATTGCACGAAAGTTGTACAGCTAAGCTATGACAAAAATGTGTGTACAGTAGATATAACATGAATACAACACTTTTAAATGCATTATTTTGACACAACTCTTGCTGTGTAAAAATGTTTAATATTTATTTGGAAGTTTTCAGTGTATGAGTTTGTTTTCTATATAATAAGAAAAGGTTGATACTATAGCTTTGAGCTTTACCAGGTCACCGAGGCAAGATGTTCAAAAAGAATCAGTACTTGCATGTTTCATTTCATCATACAATGAGTATATATAGGTTACACAAAACACATGTTGGTATATGACAGTCACGTTACATGATTAAAAAGTACCTGCTTGATTGATAGTATCGATGAGCATACGGAACATTTAGTAGGGATGAAACCGTAGGATTATTCTACGAAATGAGGCGTAAAATTCGGTTAACGAGCGAAAAGGAAAACTATATAGCGAAAAAATCAAAATGAATTAAAATCTTTTTACATTTATCAGCAATTTCCAATATGTACCCCGCTATTCAGCTAACAAATGTATTTATCCATTTATCACTTTAAGGGTTAGGTGGGGGTATATACAACAGTTAATACAGTAGCCGGTTATTTCACTTTTACTGTTTATTCTAATGCTAATTTTTCATTCACAAGTGTTGACTATTTACGTAGTTTGCAGAGATGTATGCGTTTTGGAATGACATTCCAACCACTCCATAATGAAAGATTTTATTGATGAATTATCTGTTAACATTACAGGGTCTACAATATAAGAATACTTAAACCCTTCTTTATACCCATTAAACACATTTAATGTTTTCATAAAATCGTTTTTGTGTGATTATTTATCATTTACAAGTATCTCTTAATCATAGAAAATGCGTGCCTTACTTATCGCCATTCAGCCATACTACCAGTGTAAATACAAATATTTCTCGATTAACTATTTTTATTTTCAAGTTTACATAAGCTGATAAATTCGGATACAAAAGAAATGTGATTATTGCACTGTAGTTAAGTTTCCATGAAGATAAAAAACGCATTGTGTCGAGTTGGTGAAAACACTTCTGCTCTGAATAGAAAGAGAAAACCATGAGAATGTTATTTTGCAAGTCATACAAATGGTTTTCAAGTTATATCCAAACCTTTCCTCATTCCAACACACAAGAACGAAACCATTTCAACAAAGTCTGGTGTCCTTTACGTGCCATTTATTTTGTTTTCCGTCGTGTTTACGGGTTGACACACGACAATGCGAAGTGGCACCGCGAAAATGCGATTGTCGTGTATCTAGCCTTAAACGCCACGGACGAGACTTACGAACATCGTATGTACAAGAGCGGACTGCAAAAGTGACGGAAAACATTAGAAATTTAAAAAGGAGTTAAATTTTCGATACCTAGTTCACTGTAAGATGTACAACAAAACTAATACCAATTGAGCCGCGTCACGACAAAACCAATATAATGGGTTTGCGACCAGCATGGATCCAGACCAGGCTGCGCCTCCGCGCAGTTTGATCAGGATCCATGCTGTTCGCTATCAGTTTCTCTACTTGTTATAGGGTTTGTAAGCGAACAACATGGATCCTGATCAGACTGCGCGGATGCGCAGGCTGGTCTGGATCCATGCTGGTCGCAAACGCACTATGTTGGTTTTGTCGTGACGCGGCTCAATTAATATCAATCATTATCCTGCTTGAACTTCAGTATGCAAATGGAGGAAATTCTACATCATGCCTACTTCGCTTTTATGATGAAAAGTAATTTTCAAATAAGCGGAGTCCAATCACTATATACAGTACAAGCACGTCAAATTTGAAATGAAAAAAAAAAGTTTGGGCTAATCTTCACCATTCAACTAAAAGAACAACACACTCGCACACACTCACGTAGAAAAACCTTATCAAACCACGTGGACCAAATTAACTAATTCACTAATTTTTTACAGGGGAAAAAGCAGTGTTCAGATATAAAATTAAATAATCTTTATGGGCAAAAAATGTTCAATTTTCATTTTAATAGTTCTTGTTCTTGCAGGGAGGTATATATATTTAATTTTTGTTATTCTCAATAAATACTTTACCCCAATATGCACCATTTACCTATGCATTACAAATGGTAACAAGTTTTAATGGCAAACATATAAAGTTAAGCTCTAAAATTGAGGCCGTGCAGTTCGAAATTTACATATTTATAACCATATACATAATAATTTCATTATTAGTTAATGTGTGAAAATGGTGATACACTATTTATGATGATTAACCTAGATATTCTGAAATATTTTACATGTTTACTGTTTAAGCCTCTTTCAGAGGATTGTATTTAAGTATTACACGTTTTTATCCGATCATGTATGTATCGTAACTGGGCCGAGGTAACCTTTTAAATGTCAAGAATAAAATATAATAATTCTATTTGAAAGAAGCTGGGGGAAATTTGGCGAAAATTTAAAGTATTAGTTAATTAAACGATTTGGGGTTAAGTATCAATTAAAATTGAATTAACAAAATTCGCGAGTTTCAAGCGGTCCGAATATTTTGGCCAATTTATTTAAAACGGAAAATCAATTTTGGGGAAAAGGGAAGTATTGATTTTAAGTTCCTTTAAAATTTCGCAAATTAAAATAAATTTTCAATTCCCGATTTTAGTATCGGTATAATTTACCCCGATTAAACTTCTAAATTTAAGGCCCGTATTCCCGGGATATCCGGGGTTAACTTTAAATTTCCTTTTAATTTTTTGTATCGTTTTTCATTTAACCCTTTTTCATTCCAAAAATTTTTAAAATTTTACATAAACTTTTTAAAACAATTTTAAAAAAAATTTTTTTAATTGAATTCTTTCTTTTTAAAAAATTAAAAGGAAAATTTTTGAATCAACTAATAGGTAATTAAAGTTTTGTGACAAGCACATGGCATCTCGGTAGGCTTAAGCAGGCTGGTGAAGATGACTGATCGGACTTATGTCATAAAAAATCATATTTCTAGAAAAGAAATAAAGATATTTCTTTTAAACATTGTTTGTTTATTGAGAATAATATTTCACAAACGAAAGAAAATATTTGGCTCTGCAGTGCCCTAATTTTAAAAATTAGGTTTTTGATATCGACTTAACTGTCGACGGACATTCCGATAAATTTAAGCCCAAAGGACCAATCCATTTTGGGCACCAATTAAATTTGTTCTTTTTGTTAAAATGCTTCTTCCAATGGGAAAAAATAAATTATTCAAAAATATCTACTAAGGAAAAAATACCGGGCAAAATTTAAAAAAAGACGGCTATTTTTGGTTAAAACGGAGGAGATAAAAGAAGTTATTTCCCCTTTTTCCCAATTAAACCTAAAATATTTTCCCCTTTTTTTTTATTTTTCGAAGACTTTTTTGAATTTTCCTTTTAAAAGTATGTTTTTAATTTGGCAAATTTCTAAAACAAATAAGTAAAATAATTTCTTTATGCTCTAATTCATTGCACCAACACCTGTTAGCATACATTTCATTCAGTTTTCAGGGAAAACTTCAAAGTAGAATGTTCAGTGTCGAAGAATTATCAAAATATAAATGCCAGAAAACACAATTTAATCCAAATATATAGAAAATACAGTACTGGCGCAATAATCTAGAGCAAAATGAAGTTGTTGGACACATTTCTAATTTAGAATTTTACATAACAATATAATTTTTATGAACTTCAAATATTTTATTTCTAGAAAAAAAGGAAATAATTCTAAGAAAATAAAAGATAACCAAATTATTTTGATTTGTATCATATATCAATGCTTAATAAACAAAACAAGTGAGAAAGAAACATATTAATTATTTTTCTAGAAACATGATATTTTATTTCTTAAGCCCGATTGGGCATTTTCACCAGTCTGTTAAGTGTGCTCAGCAGGCCTGCTTGCTATAAATGGTTATTAACTAAATAAAACCACTGCAGCATATGGATAAGCATGTGAAATAAGTATCATAATGAAAAGATGTTGTTGTTGTTGACACAGAATTGGGACACTGAGATGGTCAGTTTTATGACTGAATATTTTGGACCATTATATTTGGTTAATATTTCTTGTTGTAGTTACTTTAAAAGAAATCATCATTAGAACTGTTACACCTTTAAGAACGACCAGTACATGTATATCTCTTTTGTTATCCCTTGCAAGAGTTTTCCATTCTAAGTGCTTCACATTTTATTTTCAAATTTCATGTCTGAAGCCCTTTGGACATCAGTGCCCAGTGGAGTTCTTTTAAAATTGAAGACATTTTGGTAATTAAGGGATTTAATTTATTTATTACAGCAGTCTGCATAAGCCTTCACACTGGCTGTCAAGGGTGGACAAAGCTGGTAGAATATTTCATCTTGAATTAGAGAATTCAACAGATTCCAGTGACAGCATTTCTGTTGACAAGGAATGTTTTTGCAGTGATTGTGCTACGGATGACACTGGATATGGCACTGACACGGACTTGAACTTGAGTCTTAGGTATAGAAACAATGCTTTAAAACTAAACCAGCCAGATTTTAATGATGTCACTGATGTATTAAAAGGAAGCAGCTTTGATATTCCGATATCTAAAAATAGCTCGTTTGATATCAGTGGAAAAGACATTCAAAAGGTTGAAGAGGATATTGACAGTTTGTTCCAAGGTGTTGATGCGACTCGGAATAAGCGTGATTTTGATGATTTGGACGTAGACATTCCTTTTGATATTGACAGCTGCTTTTCAGAAGGAGAGTTAAAAATTGACAGGGATTGTTTAAGTAGTGAATATGCTGAAATAATAGACTTTGATTACAAAGAGAAGTCTAAAGAACCTGTGAAAAGTAAACAATATTTAGAGTATTCTAAAGTGAAAGAAACCACTAGAGGAAAGCAGTGCGAATGTGAAGCAAAAATGAACATTGGAACAAGGCATTGTGTACAAGTTGATGTTAAATTAAGGACTAATAAACAAATTGAGGAAGATTTAACAACTGTACAGCTGTGTGAACAGATATTGGGAATTGTTCCCGGACATTATGGTTCCAGTCAGTCAGGGACTAATGGCCACCGGAGAAAAGATAGGAGGGTAAAAATACGGGGTCTTGTCCCCTCTGGTGTAGCAGCTAAATATACACAAATCAGAGTTGGTAAGAGGTTTTATTTCATAGCAGCTATTGATGATGTCATCAATTATAGAAATAAACATTGATCATTTTCAAGTAACTAATTAATTATGATTGTATCTTGTGAGATGCTTTTCAATAAATACAGCTGTCATTGAAAGGAACCTTAATATTGATTTTCACTTTTCTCTCTAGCTTTTCATCACACAAATTCAAAAAGAAATACATCATTATATTGATTTTAAAATATCTTGAAATGATAAAGATTCATTATTATAGTACTATAAAAGTAATTAAACCTCAGTTTAACTTTGTGCATATTTTGTTTTTATTTTGTTAATTCACGTTTTCATAGAATTTATGAAAAAACATTTGACCGCATTTGTAATGTATATATATATTACATATACCGGTAGCCATGCCATTAAATATAAAAACTTTTTGCTTGAACAGATTTAAAGTTAAAATCACTTATTATTAAGTTATATTATAAATCATGTAAAAGATAATATTTTGTTTCTAGGTGACAGTTTGATATGTATCAATGATCAGGAGGTTACCTGGGATAATTTAGATAACATTCTGCAGATTTTACTTTATCAGAGACAGGTAAGATTCAACATTATATCATCATATACTGAAAATTTTAAAGAGAAACTCATTACAGTTACTTATCTTTTCTTGTAAACGGTACTAAACCATTATTTTATTGCCCAATACTATAGATCTTTGCAGTGATAGTACATGTACTATTTATTGATGGACATCATTTAATCTACCCCTGTGTTAGGTTTTTGTTACCTTTGGCCAGGGCCTGCAAAATCTAATTTTGTTGATGTGTCTATTTTTATTGGAAGCATTTCTTAACTTGTCTGTATGATATTTATATAGTTAATTCTTGAAAATTTCCACTTGTTCTGTAAACGCTTTGGAACAACATGTGCAAAACGGGCAATTGTTTTGCCACCCCTGTTGTGTCAATGTCACTGAGGTTAAAAATAGATAATCCTTCCTTTTTATGTTCTTTTTATCTTTGTTATATGGAGAACAGGAAGCAAACATTCTTAACATGTTGTATAACAGAATTTGAAGCTGTTTATGATAGAAAGATACAGAATAATTAAGATGAAATAAATAAAATGTCATTTAATTGGTCCAATAACTTTTTGTAATCAAATCCTCTAAAATAATGCCAGCATACACATGGTAATTTAGACTTGAATTTTTAAAGCGATATTATTTAAACTTTCCTGTCTTTGTCAGGCCAAGCTGCTTATTAAAAAGAATTCAAGAGAGAAAAAGTCTGGTTCCCTGCTTGTAAAAAAGACAAGCCAGTCATCAGTTAGTAGACTTGTGCAGCTGGTTACTGGCTCCAACAATAGTGCTGTATCCATTGAGAATATTGCTGAAGGAGAATGGGAACCATTCTATGGAGCAATGTATTTGTCACTTGAAGGTGTGAACTCCGACAATATGCAAGCCAAGGTAATGAGGACTTCATATTTTTGTTTAGGTTTAATTCATAAATATTAATATAGCAGTTGATGATGTGATTATGTATATGTACATGTATATAGGTGTCATAAGAAATGAACAAATATTGAAATATATTGTGATTTTATACACTACTAACATTTAAATACAGTCAACCTGTGATAAAACCATCCAAAGGATTAACTGAATGTGGCCTTTTAAGACAAGTGGTCTTCATTCAGAGGTTACATGTACTTTGGTCAATTTGATCAAAGAAAGTTTGTCCAAGAGTGGTCTTTATTTACAGAGAGATCTTTATATGGAGGTGGTCTTACATATAGGTTTGACTGTATTGTGATGCACTGGACTTCATTGAATATAAATCGGTATAATTTGTTGTTTACAATTGAATATTAATGTACATTTTAAAACATAGTATTTTTTCTGTTGATATGTACAGTATTAAATTCAAGTTAACAAATTCACTCTACTTAAAGTATCGGATGGAAGAGTTTTACTTGTGAAATAACATGTATTTAATGCTGGATATTTATGCTTTAAGGAGGACATTGTGTATCAGTTTCCTAGGGTTGACAACAAAGTGATTGCATCAAGAGGGATGTTCATCACTTTAGCTGGCACAATCAACGATGCTATACAATCAACAGTACAAAGGTATTTATCTTTAAGTGGTCCAATTATTGTATGCAAAGTTAAGAAGGAGAAAAAGATCATTATGAGCCTCATGTTAGCTGATTCCATGTGTAATGTTCTCAAAACCTTAGAGCATCTTGTATATGAATAATTTCATTTCCTATGTTTTGCACAGAAATTGGAAATGAATGTTTTATTTGACAAAAAGATGGTTTTGTGACATTTTTTATCATATTGTAACATTTCTTTTTAAAACAATGACATATCTGACCATATTGTAACATTTAGGATTTTTCCGCATCATTTCCTGAGCTTTTTCTTTCCTTTTTTTCTTCTTCTTTTTTGACATATGGAATGATATTGTGATCATACCATATCTTGTCATTTTGATATGGCTGATAATAGTGTAACATGTTAGAACATTGCCATTCACTTTCGAGATAATTTCTGGTTGTTGGATTATTATGGTGTTTAAATGATATCCTGTAAAATTGATGACAACCAAAGTAACAGTTTAAGATTACCTCAGAAGTATATGAATTCTGATATATGCATGTACATAAGCTAGCTTGTATAGCTTGTTTTGACAAAATAGGTTGTCATATTTTAAATTTTTGAAATATAGATTATTATGTTTATACTTGGATTATTTTGTTTTATTTAACAGCACAACTTTGATGGTAGATAACAGCCCTGTGCATGTAGTATACCATTGTGAAGGACAAAACTTGTTTGTTATTTCTGCACCTGAAAATAGGTATGAATGATATCTTAAAAAAAAATGTATTGCTTTTTAATTAGGATGTGAAATTAGGTGATGCAAAGAACAAAAATTATGATGAAGCAGATAACTTGGAAAATTTGATCTTTATTGTTTCATCATATATGGTGAAGGTAACAGAAAATAAATATTGTGATGGAGATAAAGATTGTGTTCCTTTTTAAAATGAGTTATGTAAATAAAACTACAGCTTTATAAGTACATGTACATATATATAAAATTGTTTTTAAGAGCCCCAACTTACTCAGGAAAGCATATAGATTTGCCTGCGTCTGTCTGTCACTCTTTCCTGCTGACAAAACATTGGAATGTGAGGGCATCCATAATTATACTCTTGAAGCATTTCTACATGTAGTACCCCTGTATATTATGCTTATTTGAAGTATATATAATTTATAACTTCTTTTTTCAGATTTTCACTCACTTCCCTGACGACACTTGTGAAAGACCTTGTCCGTCTGCTGCAGGTTACCCATAGTTCCGTTCATGAAGCCTTCACCACATTAGCCAATCACAATCAACTAGACTGCTTCTTCGCTTTACTACATCAAAATCAGGTCTCACAGTCTACAAATAATGGCACAGTCCAGAATGAGAAGTGCAATCTAAACCAGTCTGCCAAGATATTACCATTACCAAATGAGATTAAGGTGTGTTTTAGTTCAAGACGATAAATACTAAGTAACTACATTTATCATTAAATAATATTTTATTTTCCTATATTCCATGTCGAAAGTTAACCTTTACCAAGTTAAAGCTGTTCACTTGACTTGTTCTGTTTTGTTTTGAGTTTTTGACATAATTGTGTATTGTTAATGTTTGGACATGCAAAACTCAGTCAGACAACAGTATTGTTGTCCAGTCAGACTGCATAGATGTGTATGCTGGTTTGGCTCTATACTAGTGCGACATACATCGCAACAAAAAAACCCCCAAAAAACATGTATGTTCTGAAGAATTAAGCAAAGGATAAGATACTTATATCAAATGTTTTGTTTTATTACAGTGTTGTGCAGATAGAGTTCTGACTGATTTTGAAGCTGCTGATTTTGGAGACATGGTAAGTAGTAATTTCTATCTTGTATGAAATACTGTAAATTGTAATCACACAACATGTATTTGCTGTATCAAGATAACCCACTTAATACTGTTAAGCTTAATTTATTTTTTAAGCCCTATTCATTGAGGTTGGATTATGAAGAATGCTTTTAGCTAGTTATATGAACCTCTCCAGAGTCCACCCCCTGGAGCTCAGTTTTGGTATCATGGTCGTGACCCATAACCTATGATCCCTGGATTGAGAGGCAGACACCTGAGCCAAAAGGTCATACATGTAGCTCCCCTTAACAAGATTTTTATTACCTACATGTATAATTTTATATTTACAAAAAAGTGGCATTTTTCAACAAAATTTTTAAGCAGGCACACAATCTTTAAAACAATTATGAGCAAAGGTCACCCAATAAATTAAAGATGTAAAGGGATAATGGTAAGACCAAGGGGTAACTGAAAGTGATTGCTGAAAAATCAGGTTGGTTTATTTATGCATATAGAGTCATGAGCAAAGAATGACTGTATTAAAATTTTCGACTGGTACATAAAACGTTAAGTTTTCTCAAATGCTATTAATACATCTTGATAAAACTAAAAACTCATCGTGAAAAACAAAAAAAAAAGGAAAAAATTTTTATTGAATATGGAGATTGATGAAGACAGATTGGTATAGTTGACTAAATCGGCTTCGGGCAAGTAATGGTTTAAGTGTATGATAATTTAAAGATGTATTATCTAGTGAGGGATGGTTTAGTCTACATGACTAGGTGACAGCTTGCGGACATCACTGCCATTATCTACCTCATTTTATTAGGTCTTGCATCATTAGCTATATACAATTTATACAATTAAAATAAATGGGTTTTTTACTAGATGAGGGGAAAGTTGTTTAGTGTTCATGGAAAGTCACATTTATGTAGAGTAATAAAAAAAGTATATCAGTGAATTTCTCCTATAAAGCTGTTCGTGACTAAAGAAATAAACATTTTTTTTTACCCACATAAAACAATTTGTCAGCAGGGGAGGTCATGTAGATTTTCTTAGTGTTAATGGCATGTGGTTTTCTCAGATACAGTTTGTGATGTACACATTTGTTATATTGATTCCCTTATAGCTTTGATTGAATTGCTCATACAAGTTAATTAGTAATGTTGGATACTGTTAATGTTGGGCACTCATATAATATTGATTGTTTCATTGACTTGATTGAAAAGATATTTGAGCCGAGTCACGACAAAACCAACATAATGGGTTTGCGACCAGCATGGATCCAGACCAGCCTGCGCATCCGCGCAGTCTGATCAGGATCCATGCTGTTCGCTTACAAACTCTAGAACGAGTAAAGAAACTGATAGCGAACAGCATGGATCCTGATCAGACTGCGCGGATGCGCAGGCTGGTCTGGATCCATGCTGGTCGCAAACCCATTATGTTGGTTTTGTCGTGATGCGGCTGATTTTCCCTCTCTATAGCAACACCTTTTGGTAACAACCAAAATATGTGTCTCCAAAAGGTTGATCTGTAGAGGATTTGCAATTTTCATGTTTGCTTCATCCAAATGTTTACCACTTACCTTGCTGGAACTGAAAAATGATTAATCTTTGCTACTTAGAACATTGCCAGCCTTCACATCCCTGCAGGCTGACCAGACTCTATACTATACTATATTCATATTGAAATACTTTAACCTTGAATGGACTGTTCAATCTGGGCAATCAATATTTTGATTCAACCAGGTTAGGGTAATATCCCAAAATTGATTCCGGATTTTATTTTAGGTTGGGCTTTGGTATTTATGTATATGTAAAGATTTATTTATTGTTTCAGTCTGACAGTTACTATGGAAACAGAAGAAGCTATTCTATTTTAGGATCATGTTTGTTTTACAAGGTATACACTATACTGTTGGTAAATAAATTTTTATAATGTGACAATGACATTTCTTATACTTTAAATGGACTGTTCCAAATTCAAAGCAGGGCAAATCCAATACACAAATTCAGCAGGTTAAAGGTTAAGACAGTTTTTAAATCTTATTATTAGAATTAGTTCAGCTGAAAGAAAATTTCTAAAAAAAAAATTATGGTAATTTTGCTTTAAGAAAATTTCTGAAAAAGTTATTTTTAGTTCTTAAATTTGCACGTGTTAACTTTAAAGATAACATAAATGTTTAAAAATCTGGAAACAATGTTATACAGCCATTATACAGCCAATCATCTTCTGTGTTTCAGAACTACCTCATTTCTAATCACTTACCAAAAGACGATCTGGTGGACTTTTCTACCTACCTGAAATATCACTCACTACTAAACCTGAGCACCGATCACTCGCTAGGACAACTGGTCGTGTGGAGGGAAATTCACCCGACCCGGCATTGCCAGGCGGTACCGGACGAACAACAGTTTGGTTACACGGAACCTCTTATAGCACGATGGTTTTGGCTGATTGTTGGCTACGTAAGTTTGTTATGGTCCTTGAAACTGAGGACTTACCTGTCTTGTTAATGTTTTCATTGCTTAATGCAATTTTCACTGGTTATGTATTTTCACTGGTTATATATTTTCACTGGTTATATAAGGTTCATAGTTATACTGTGTGAAGAAGTAAATGTAAAACATGGCATGCCCTCTGATAAGCAAATAAATTTTCAAAAAATGTGAAATTATGAAAGTGTATTGATGATTTAGGAAAAGTATATACATGTATATTCAATGTTACTCTGTGTGTGGTTTATTCAAATTATTACAGAAATAACTATTCTTACCACTCTGCATGTATTTCTACCCCATTTCTAGTGGAATAATGGCTATTTCTACATTATTATGTTGATATGTTAATGTAATTACTATGGATAAGTGGTATGGTATAATCATAAAATTTAGACTAAGTATTTTTGTTTTTAAAATCTTAACCACACCTCCATTCAGAAATAGATTTTTTATTTTTTTTATTTATTTTTTGTTGTTTAAAAAAAAAAAGCAAAAATTATATGCATTTGGAGGCATGTTGCTCTAAAATCTGTTAATTTGTATTGTAATGATCTCATTTTCATATAAGATTTGGATTCTTTGATAGTAACTGATCTAACTGACTAAAATGGTATACATTTTGTAATTGAATTTTTTGGGACAAAATAATTGGTATTTCTTCCTAATTTTTTGTTACAGAAAAACCTGATAATGTGTGTATCTTTGGAGACTGGAGGTTGTACTAAAGTGTAAGTAGTGTTACATATTACTTTTATTGTCATTACATTGTTTATTAAATAGATAAAATGCAGTATAGTTCAACCTGTGGACAAAGGCCATCACAGGAGAATATGGCCTTTATGGACAAGTGGTCTTTATTTAGATGTTATTTTTGTTCTATGTAATTAATGAATGTTGGTAAAAAAGTGGTCTTTATTTACAAAGTGATCTTTATTTGGAGTTTGTCTATAACATATTTTTGTATTTAATTAAGGGTAAAATACATAAAATATAGGGATAAGCTTTTATTTCGATGAAATTTGAAAACAACGTATATTTAAATAACCAATTATTTTTCCTCCTGGCATTTAGAGGGATTGTTATTATACTATTATGATGATATCATTTTTACCTATCTAAAAAGATGAATAATTATCTTGAGTAATGTAAGGCAAAGTTTAAATCACAGTATATCGCTGTTCCATCAGTAGTTAGATAAATGTTTATCATATACTTTTAATGTTAATTCCAGCTTAAAGTTATACATATCTTACTTTATTTTGATTGCCAAAAAAGCTTTCAGCTTGTTTGAAGCTTGTGTCATAAACTTCTATCATCTTGTTACTAAGTTTTCTGTGTCATAAAATTTATTAGGGGAGTGGTGTTTGTCAGATAATATATCAAAAGTAATATTGGGGAACCCAATACTGACCTGTATCGGTTGTTCTGTCCCGTCAAATCATATAACGTGATATTTCTTTCAATCTTCCTTGAATTTTATTTTTCGTATTTCATGATTCTTAGTAGCTGGAAGCAAATCTAATACCTCATACAGTCAGTCCTCTGCAAGAAACATATAGCCATTGAAATTTAGAGGTTATTATAAATAGTTTTCCCACAATTAGTTTAAACTGAGGAGGCATGGCTTTCACATTAAGTTCTAAAATTTGGAAGTCAGAGACTGAAAATGTCTGAAAATTTGGAAGTCACATTAATTGGGCAAACAAGAAAAAAACATTAAAATATGGAAGTCACAAACCAAAATCAGGAGTAAATAACTCCCAAACTTCCACTAAAGGAAGCCCTGTGTAGGGGAGTGGATTCTGTGCTTTATTGGAATTTTTTACCCCAGTAGAAAAAGATTTAAAACAAAATTCTTTAAAATAGTGGACATGAAAGATTTGCTTGCGGCTAAATTGCACCTCCATATGTTGATATGTAGGAATAATCATTATGGTATTTAAGAATACATGTAGTAATTTAATACATGTATGTGTTTGTTTCTTATTGTAGTGTTGATGGTGTATCGGCACCTGATCCTTTCCTCATAGACCAGACACGGGCTGTCCTTATGCAGCTGTATAGTCAGAATATTGCCTCACATTGTGAAAACAGGTTTGTTCTATACAATTTTGTATACTTCTTATACTGAATTATGAGGCAGATTTAAGTAGTAGTTAAAATAATAAAAGGGAATTTATTTAAAGAGGCAACACAGTGAGACAATCTGGACAAAAGCATTCATTATTTCTAGGACAAATTTAAAAATAATCATCAAAGTCTGATTTACTCCATATACAAATAAAACAAACAAATTTTTCTCTTCGCTTTTACTTGTTTGATAAAAAGATTACTAGATTTTTTTTCTTCACAGTAAGCGAATGATTTGCAGTGAAAGATTTTTTATGATATTTCACTGATGAAATGGAGTGTTTTATTGATAATCATAAAATAAATAGATATAATTAATGTATAGAAATGCTGACATGGGTATTAAAAGTGGAGCAGTAGGTTGCAGTGAAACAACTTTGTTTTATTAGGCACTTTATCAAAACAGAAGCCTGTTCAAACAAATATATTTTTGGAGTTGCATAAATTTTTGAAATATATTGAACCTGTCAGAATAATTCATCATTCCCAACATATGTTAGTGCTTTTTTATCTTTAATCCACTTGATCTTTCTACGTATTATTTTAAGACATAAGTAGTACACCATAAAATTTGGAGTGCATTAAATAAAGTTTTATATAAACTTGTTGAGATTGTTTATGAAAAAAAAAAAATATGGTTGTCTTAAAATTTTCTATCCTGAATGAAGTCAAGTTTTGTCTGAAATTTTGATTTATTACCGTCTATGATATTTTACAGTGTTTCCAGTCAGCCATCATCTTTTGTGTCACACCCTGACGACCTCGTTCGAAGACAACAAGGTCATGACCTTATATCAAGGTCACTCAAAGGTCATGATATTATACCAAAGTCGCTGAAGAAATTACCTCACAGAGACTCGACAAACTTGTTCAGTGTTGCCAATGGTGTTACGGAGAATTCCGGGTCGATTCGACGACTGATGCAGCGACGGAAAGATTCAATGGAATCGGATAATTCTAGTGAAAGTAGCGGAGAATCTCTGTTTAAAGTATGACATTATTTTGTCAATCATTAATGAGCCACGCCATGACAAAACCAACATAATGCATTTGCGACCAGCATGGATCCAGACCAGCCTGCGCGTCCGCGCAATCTGATCAGGATCCATGCTGTTCGCTTACAAACCCTATAATAAGTAGAGAAACTGATATGGAACAGCATGGATCCTGATCAGACTGCACAGATGTGCAGGCTGGTCTGGATACATGCCGGTCGCAAACGCACTATGTTGGCTTTATCATGGCACCCGTTTTTCCATAATCATTGTATTTCTGACATAAATATAGTCTTGTTGCAAAGTAAAATGTAGGTGAAATGTCTAGACATTTTGTAGGACTTTTTATGATTTATGATTTTAAATATTTATAAACCACCAGGTGATTTAAACTAATGTTGAAAGTACTTTTAAAGGAAGCATGTTTATGCACCCACTACTTAGGGAGAGTGGGATTATAAATTTGCCGTTGTCCTTCTGTAGAGCTGTCACACTTTCTGTCATTAGACTGACAAAACATTGGAATGTAGGGGACCCTTGTCTTATGGACACATTTCTAATGAAAAGAATTATTGGCCTTGGAGTCAATAGATGGGAATCTTGGGAGATCACAATGCATTTGTTTGTACTTTGTGTTTGCCTAAAAACAGATTGTACCTTGGCTGTAACTTCTTCACTCTGTAAGAACAGAACACTTGACAAAAACCTTATTTTGGTGCTTGAAGAACAATTTATTTTGACAATGACGAAAAAAAAAATTTTTTAAACTTCACCTATGTCTCTAGGGTAATAAGAGTAGGTTACTTTACTTACCAAGAACCACAACGCTAGTTTGGATTTACACTGAATTATTCCCCTTTATAAAGGTAGAAAATATCTGTATGATTTGTTATAATTAAGAAATGAAAAAAGTCAAATTTGTTGAACTTTATTGACAGTTCATGATTATTTTTTTATTAATTCATAAACAAATTTTATTTTGAGAAAATGTTGTCTATAAATGACAGTGTTTGTACATATGTATTTCAGTTCTCTAAGAAAGGACGCCTGTTTCCAGAAACAGCAGATTTGTTACACAATATAAGTGAGTCAAAGGAAGACATCGGGCCACTTAACTCCAATAGAAAGTAAGACTTTAGTGAGCTTGTTTAAAATAAAAAAAACATAAATTATGTCATTGTCTTGTTTGCTAATGATGTGGATTATTAGATATATGGATTATAGAAATGAAGATATCAATAAAACATAGTGGCGGCGTGGTGGAGTGGTTAACTTGCTGGACCTGTGGGTTCAAACCCCATCTGGGACAAGCCGATGTTTCTGTGAGAAAGAATCTTTACACTCATTGCTTAGTACTGGTTGGTTCCAGGGATGGATTCGAGAGTGTTTCAATAAGCTTATAGCTTCTAACACAATGGAACTAAAATAAATTAGTATAAACTTAAACGTATTACAATGTCATTTTATATGATTTAAACTTTTTGTTCATTATTTTGTATCTACAAGCGCTTGAACATGTCAATGTTGTAACTATTACAGGTTGACAGCAGGCATAGACAACTGCTTGTTCCATTTCCAGTATTACGACAACCTAGAGGGCGTGTTTATATCCTCCGAGGCAGATGTGGGCGGAGTCAGTCAATTAAACAACGAAATATACAAGTGCTTCCAGACTGCTTGCCAGAAAATTAAACAAATGTTTGATAGTGCTAGAAGAACAAAGGTATGAATATGTTATATTTACAATTTGGTACCCCAGATATTGTCATGACAGTATTGGTGGCAACATTGTTAAAGCAGCATGTCTCCAAATTTATGCTTAATTTCATGAATTTTTTTAAAATATATTAAAAAGTAAGATATTGCAAAGTAATCAAAGAAAGTACTTTTCACACTGCAAACGGCATTTAGAATATAAGAAATTAACCAAAACTATGTCATAATATGCAAAAGCAGTCATTACTGTGTAAGTCTGCTGTGGAAATATGGTGATAAATTCTACTAAAGTCATTAATCGCCTATAACATGTCAATTATTTTTTCCATTGTGAATATTTGTACATTTCTTAAACTCGTAGAGCATTTTTCTCAAGATTTATTTTCTTGAAATAGTTTGGCTCATCAGGAGGCATGCAGCTTTAAAAATTTAAATTTCATACCAATTTATGTTTTGATTTTTACTGTCTCCCTCAGCTTTGAGTCTATCAGTTTAAAAATGTTTGATGTAGACTCATTTTAAAACTTGTTCTAGAAATGTTAAAAGCTGTACACCAGCATGCTTTAAAAAGCAATATTTGCTTATTTTACTCAAGACTACATGTACATGTGAATTTTTTGTCTCAGGTGCTTGTGACTGACATTATGCACAAAAGCGGCACTTTGAGTTCTTCCTCCATTGGTAAAACTGGAAAGTTACTACATGACATTTACAGTTTAATAACTGCTCTTGTAACATCCTATACATGTATATATTTCTTTCATTGTATAAAATATGTTTTATTTTCTATATTTCAATATATAAAATATGTTGTATTCTTTTATCTAGGAACAAAGTAAGGATAGAAAACAGCATGTATGTGGTTTGAATGACGATTTGGTCACAGCGAGGGAGGAAGGTGTCATGTTTACATGTACACTACCTAACAACGATAAGAAATCTCATCCACTATGTTACTGGGTTGTTGGGTAAGAAATACTCCCATTATTTAAATGTATACCATAAACTTGTTTCTGTCCGTCATAGGATAGGTCAATTACTTGTTTGACAGCAAAGGTTTCCTTGAACGAATCCATTATTCGTTGCCCCTTGTGGCTGAGGGGTTGCCTTTAATGGTTTAGGCATAAGAATTGCAGCCCCAATATGCCGGAGTGATCGTATGAGGCAACTGAATGGGTTAGAATTACTGGAGTCTATGCATCTGTTAGCTCCAGCATATTAGGTGGTTTTCACCCCTGGTGTTGCTTTGAAGTTTGTAACACCCAAGGTTAGCCCAAATCATCTTTCTTGTTTCGGTGCCATATGACCTATATTGTGTTTGTGGCCCGTAAAACCAAATTTATTCTTTAAATAATTATTTTTCTATCAATATATATATTATTTGTTAAAACATTATAATTCAGAATGATCATTTTTCTGCAAATTTGAAAATTGTACTCCATTCATTTATGTTTTCCATGTTAAAAATTAGTTTTCATTTTGTTGGTTAATGCCGTCATTCAAATTGTTTTTGTATTGTTTGTTATTTTCAAACATTTAAATGTAGCTTTTACTTTTAGCATTCATTATGTTTGTTATTTCAGACGCTGTTTGTCACGGTCATTAAGAAGAGAAGTTTATGTTTGTTTCCACGATTCAACTCCACAAACTGTGATCGAACTAGCATTTAAAATAGCACTTGGTTACCTCCCTTTATAAACACAAAAATAGCCATAAGTTACCTCCCTTGGTAAGCCAACAAAATGATGTCAAAGATAGAAAACTGCATCAGTCAAGGAAGAACATCTGTGCCAATATAGTGAATTTGTTTTTAAAGATGAATAAAATGATGTATTATAAACTTTTGCGGGTGACCTAAATTTTCTTCCATTCTACAAGCATAATAGAAATTATGTTATTTATTACATATTAGCTGTTAAAAAAAAATCAATGAATCCTAAAATATTTTTGTTAACCTTCCGAATATTAATAGAGATTATAACTAGTCTATGCCACTAGTTAACTATCAAGTTTTCACACTCAACTGTGTTCGTGCTGAATTACCTTAAACTACTATTGGACTGTCCGAAATTCAAGGCAGGGCAAGTCTATTTTAAAAATATAGAGGTGTATGGGTTGATTTGCTTAAGCTATATTTTCAATAATATCAACTTAAATTTAGAAGTAAAATTTGCAATAGATGTTATCCAGAACTTGGTAAATGTTGGTTTTTCCAATCTTGTCGGGGTATAACAGACTTTTACCACTTTGGCTTCATAGTACACTACAGTTCATAATAATGTAATCAATGTGTTGCACTTGTTATTTAATTATTTGCCAAGTTTTTAACGGTGAAAATTATGTATCCTGGATTAGGTGGGAAAAGTCACATTACCGAGTTCCAGAGTCTCTCTATTTAACAATTTTCAAAATGTTATTTTTGTAAATCAAAATATTCAGTTACCATTTTAAACTGGATTATAGTAGTTAAAAGTAATGTGTATTTATTATAGTAGTTGAAAGTAATGTGCAGTTAGTAATTGCAACACTTTATATTTTTTATTAATAGAAGTATCAATGGTCAGCATTTTTGTTAAGAGAGTTGAATGATTTTGAATTTTAAATTAAGACGGACACTATTGGTAAATATAGAATGGTCATTGATTGACATAACCTACCTCAGGCATTTGTAGCATTAGTGTTCATTCTATGCATCATTACATCCTATTAAATCATCTATTAGTCTTTAGTAAGTAATTTACGCCTTTATTTAATGAGGCTTACACATTCAGTTTTCGATCTTCCATGTGGGCCTCAGCTGATGGTCACAATATAACAGTAAACAGTTAACATATATACACAACTGTCTACTTTAAAACGAGTAGATAAATATTTAAAAATTGTGTTTTGAACGAATTTGCCTTTAAATAAGTAAAAGCTAATGTTTGAAAGATTTTGCCTCACCATCAAGTGAAATTGAAATTATGGTGAAAAGAATGTTTTTGAGAACCTATTTTGCGAATTTGTCTTTTAAGTTGAAAACAAAATGTGATAAATAGAACAATTTTTGTGTTTGGATCATTTGTGTTTGGGTCATTTGTTTTTTAAATAATTTACACTGTGAAGAGGCCAGTTAGTTTTGTAAATCTTATTCCAGTTATTAAATGAACATTTACAAGTAACTATGCAATAGACACATCATCTTTTTTTCTGTATATATTAATTATACCCCCGCACAACAAAGTTGTAAGGGGGGTATACTGGAATCAGCTTGTCCGTCCGTCCGGCTGTCCGGCCGTCCGTCGGTTTTTTCTTGTCCGCCCAATAACTTAAGATTCCTTTGACCCTTAGTCTTCATATTTAGCATGGAGGTTAGTCATGATTAGTAGATGACCCCTATTGATTTTGAGGTCACCAGGTCAAAGGTCAAGGTCACAGGGGCCTTGACTTCAAAAAGCTTGTCCGCCCAATAACTTAAGATTCCTTTGACCCACAGTCTTCATATTTGGCATAGAGGTTAGTCATGATTAGTAGATGACCCCTATTGATTTTGAGGTCACCAGGTCAAAGGTCAAGGTCACAGGGGCCTTGACTTGAAAAAACTTGTCCGCCCAATAACTTAAGATTCCTTTGACCCACAGTCTTCATATTTGGAATGGAGGTTAGTCATGATAAGTAGATGACCCCTATTGATTTTGAGGTCACCAGGTCAAAGGTCAAGGTCACAGGGACTTTGACTTCAAAAAAGTTTGTCTGCCCAATTACTTTAGATTCCTATGACCCACAGTCTTCATATTTGGCATGGATGTTGATCATGACTATAAGGTGACCCCTATTGATTTTGAGGTCACTGGGTCAAAGGTCAAGGTCACAGGGAGCTTGACAAAAAAAAGCTTTTCTTCTCAATTGCTAAAGTAAATGTCCTGTCCGCAATGTATTGATTTTGACATTTTCACATTTGAAGCATGTAGAATACAATGCACTGGCTTAGTAACCTCAGATTTGGCAGGGAGATTGTGTTTGAGCTCTAAATGGCCACTGTTGATTCTGACAAAGTGGTATGCGGGGGTATTCACGCCATCATAGTGGCAGTTCTAGTTAATGCTATGCAAATTAAACAGGGTATATTTTATAACTTTACATTCTGGTATTCAAGAACTATTTTTTTCTTTACTTTCTTTTCTCTAGATGTTTTTCATTCATTTAGAAATACTTTACTACATAGACTCATTTTCATTGTGTGTAGTATAAGTCTTGTAATATTATACAAAAACTTCAGTTTATATTTTCATTTTACTGTACTACATTATCCAATTAATTATCTGATTATTTTCACCTTACAATCCCAAAGTATTCTAATCTGTCAATACTGAATAGGGGATGTCCCTCCGTCCATATGTTCTTTAGCGAACAACTCGAAACTTGGCAATGGCTTCTTTATTTCAAGTTTGTGCCTTTATACTTACTCACAACATACATGTTCCTCTTGATGAGTTTTATTTAGACATATTGAAATATGACCTTGACCCATATAAATGTCCTTGACCTTAAAGGTCAAATTTTCGACCTAGAAAGCTTACTGATTACAAACACATCCTGTTGCTAAGCAAATTTTGTGGCATTTTTTTCCCACATAATTTAACAGAGTTAAAGCCCTTGTGTATAATGTAAACTTGTGCATAATATGTCTGTACTATCATTCTCTATTAACTTTTACATCAAGTTTGCTAATTTAAAAGGATGAAATTGTAGCTTTCTGTTTTACAGAAATTTTATATGAACTTTTTAAAATCACTACATTATGCAGCACTTGCCAAAATGATTAATTGGACATAATATCATGTTTCATTTTAACAAAATAATAATGACATATAAAATATTTTTGATTTCATGTATGCCTCTTTTATATATTAATTTTGGTTGTGAAATAGTCAATATGATTGCATTTTATTTGCAGTCTAGTAGATGATTCATATTTGACATTTAATGTTGATAGCTGTAGTTGGGAAGAAGTTTCATTTAAAATAAAATTTTAGGAAGTTCACAAGCTCTGTTTGTGGAAATAATTGTTGACAATACTGGATATTGAACATGTTTTGTTACAATGTTTTAAATAATAAAATTCTTACGTTATTAGAAGGGTCATTAGATGGTGAAATGCACTTACTTTGGCAATTAAATATTTTAGCTTTTTTTTTAAAAAAAAAACTGAGAAAAAAAAAATGTTGATTTAATTAAATTCAAGAAGCATTGTTCCATTATTATAATAATTAACAAAGTCTTCACTTTTATTAAACAGGAATTGCAATGTAAATTTTTTCTGTAACTTTTTGGAACTGGTTCGGTATGCACTCAAATGGCACTCACAGATTCACTTTTTCTCATTCAGACTCTGTCAGTGTTTTCATAACTGATAAAATATGGACAAATATTTATAATTTCTTAAATGACATGCATTTTTTTTAAATTTTATGTTCATATGTAAAACATTTGAATCACTACAATTGAACACAGTTACATGTATTTAATTTGGAGAGGAAAATATGCACTCTTAATTTGAAAGCAATTGAACACAAAGCAATAAAAGTAAATTTATATATTCATAAATAATTATTTTATATGTACACTTGAAGTATAAAGCAATATTTGTGCATTTATTTTGAGATTAACATAATAAATTATCGTTGTTGTTATTGTTATCATTCAAAAGGAAAAAATAAAAACTTATCCAATGTTATTTACGAGTTTTATTGTTAATGTACGCCAAAAAACCCCATAATTTTTGTAGTTTTGGACTGATTTCACGTCACTTTGACACTTTAACAGTTATGTCGTCAATTATACTAGCCATGGGAACCCAATTAGAACCTCTGATCTCTGTATGCAAAGTTGACAAGTGCCTATCAAGAAAGAATGCAAAGTCTTTGCCAGTTTTAACTAAAGCAATGAGGGCAATGTGGTTCAGAGTCAGCAAACTTTACCACTACTGAGGCCTCCGAAACAGTTCTGGAGGGCCTCAGTAGTGGTTAGGTTTACGGACTCTGAATTTAAACAATATTATTGATTTAAATAGGGCCATATGGATATTATGCAAAAACTAGTTCACTTGTACATATAATTACAATGGATATTATTGATGACTATGTATCCACATATTTAATGCAAAAAATGAAATCACCGCCATTTTAAATGGGCTTGGGGCTGTTTTCTAACTTAACTAAGATGTTGTCTTTTTTTATGATGTTCACTAAAAATTCAAAGACACTACTGCAGGCAGAAGAGCTATAGTCAGTATATTACCTTTAAGAGTACACAGAATTATATCTTAAATGGACTTTTCCATTTTTCATTCTGGACAAAATCATTTCTTATTTGTAGAGATGAATTCTAAATAAGTACTAACTGAGAAGCGACCAGTGCAAATCAGAGGACATAGATCTACCAGCTGATCTTGATCTGCACTGAAATCATGGGTACAATCAGTTGCTTCCAGCAGGCTTAACAATAACATACATATTTATATATAATGCACCAAGTGACGTCAAGACATTCATAAGCTTGATAAAGTATTACTACAGAAAGACCAACTTAAGTACATGTGTAAGTTTATTTTCCTTAATTTACGAATAAAAGTTCAGTATTGCACAGATGTAAGAGTTGCTACCCATTATGCAGGTGATTTGTGCAGAGTTGCTACCCTTTGCAGTTGTGACCACAAAACCAAAAGTAACATACATTCATCCCTATGTAAACTATTTATAGTTAATGATATAGATACATGGATGGGCCTATTAAATCAAAAATCCCAAGGCAGTCAAGACAATGCACTCGAAAATCAAATTTTAACAGGAGTAGTATGTTATCCAAGGTCAATAATCAATATTTTAACTTGATAATAATAAATATTAATATTATACTTTGTAATTTTAATATAAATCAAGGCCACTTTAAACTGAGTATGGAATGTTGCAAGGAAAAAAAATTAATTTATATAATTTAACTTAACTTTGCAATGTCAAATGCCCGTAAGTGTAAAAAGAAACACATAGCTGTATCAGCTTTGAGATCACACTTATCAAAGGACAGCTATAATTTAACATCAGAAGATATTTACAAATTTTAGCACCAAAAAATTAAAGCTGGACAACTCCAGGTCAATGCTGATTTTTATGAAAAGTGATCAAAATAGCACTTGTAAGTTTTTGTTACAAATTAAGCCATTGAGGCTACAATAAGGCACTTGCCGTCATAATCAAACTATAGTAACAAACTCACCCTTACTCATGTCTTTACCCTAGTTACATTTATTTTAACACTTCAAATAATATTTTTATGTCTGTTTTTTTTTTTTAAATCTTACAGTACAGAATAATCTCTATATGGCTTAGTAATGAAGTTTATAAAGTTAACTACTTAACAAAATTTGAAAAATATTTCTTGCATATTCTAACATTATATCAGATCAGCTAGTAGAGTCTGGCACAGAGTTCTCAGACTTCGGGCTGAGACTAAGCGAGTCCATGTCTGCGATCACGCCATTTGACATCTCGTCTATGGTTGTAAAATCTATCACTATCTGTTTCTGCGCTGGTCGATATTGCCTGAAGAAAGGAGAAAAATTGTATGATTGTTTTGTTTTTGTTTGGTTTAATGGTGCACCAACATGGTTTAGGGCATATGGCGCTGAAACAGGAAAGATGATTTTGGCTAACCTCAGGTGTTACAAACTAAAAGCAACACCAGGGGTCAAAACAACCTCACCTGCTTGAGCTAACAAATGCAAAGACTCCAGTTATTCAAATCCATTTGGTCGCCTCTAAGGATCATGAAGGGTTAAACAGTGGCATTTTTCTCTTAAATCAATTCTAGACTTTTCCCTTTAAAAGGGAGAGAAAACATTGTTTGGGACAATATTTCTTTGTTCGTCCGAGTTTTTACCCTTTGGTCTTAAAACGCAAAAGTATCGAATAAACCAGCCAATGGTAGAGACTGATTTGATTTGCTTTGTTTTATGTTAAAAGGTCATTGTAAAGGTCATAATCATTCACCTTAGTGCAACGACTGGTTAACTCTTATCAACTTATATAAGGAATTAACCTGATACTGCACTATGGTGAAATTCTAGTAATTTTTAAGCTTTACCTGTATAGGTAGACCTTAGATGCCGAGGCAAAACCTGGCACATGACCACAGAGCTTTGGTAAGCTAGCTTGATAGTACTCAGAAAATGCTGTGCGAACTAGTCTAACACAATACCCACCATACCTTTGTCAGTACTGATCATAGTATATAAGAAATAATTGACTGTACAAGTACATTTTTATCAAATTTAACTGTATAAAGAATACTTTTATTAAACATTCTAACACCACATACTTCCCTATTGAACATATAAGGACTTAGGTGTGTAAACATGTAATAAAATCAAAGTTGTTAATCTATTTCTAGACATGTGACGTAACTATTAAGACTATGACGCGCTGAAAATAAGTACTGAAACAAATCAGAAAAAATTTAGCATGATATTCTCTATGGTAGCATTTATTTGTTGTCGTGTTAGAATCAAAATAATATATCCCAAACAGTGATTTTATCACTTTATAGTTTTTTGATATAATTCCTCCCATACAAACTCCAAACAAGTGTTATTTAGGGAAAAAATCACTCTTGGAGATTTATCATTTCTTAATTCTTAAAAAAAACTGCACACAATGAAATTAACAGAGAAGAAAACATTTGATACATTATTTCTTTACCTGTATTTTACACCTGCCATATCGAACATTCTCTTTGATGCTCGAAACTCCGGTCTTTCATGATATTTGTCCGAGTAATAGATCACTTCCTTGATGCCCGACTGTATCACAACCTTTGCGCACTCATTACATGGGAACAATGCTACATATATAGAACAGTTCTTCACATCGGCAGAGTTCTTATTGAGAACAGCATTCAGTTCTGCATGACAAACTGAAATCATAAAATGCTTAACATATTAAATCTTAATAGATTATCAAGACTAGAATAATTGAGATAGTAAAAATATCTGGCAGTGATTTTTCTTACTTACTTGGGAAGAGGCCTGAGCCTCTTGATTTTGGGAAAAAATAACACTAAAATTGCTGATTTGGGAAGTAAAAAAGCTGGTTTTAGTTCAGATATTTGGGAAAACTGCATGATTTTAAAGAAAATTTCAATTGGGAAGAGGCCTTTTTTCGGAGTCTGTTATATAAGTAGGATAATCACTGTCTGGGGGAAAAAAAGTGATTCCCCAAGCAAAACTGCATGAAAATTGCACTTGGTTTGATTGAGTCTGTACATGAGGGATAATAAAAAAGTGCAACATACCTCATGCCCAATAGCATAATAATTATGATAGTGTAATAATCCAATTTCAATATCTTTTTTGTGAATGGCTTAAGTAACACCATCACTTTTAAAGGTCACATGGCAGCTTTCCGAAGAACCTTACGTGCCATTTCTGGTACCAGGTACCCAAATAGATCCACTGATAATCTTTAAGCTACCTAGACAGCTTCCTCACATGAAAGAAAACAAAGTCCCTGACAGGATTTGAACCATTAGCAACGAGAGGCAAGATAAACAGAAAATTAGTCATTATGCTTGTTTCAATCTCAACAATAATCAAGTTGGAATAAATTTTGTTCTGGCTGACAGTATTTTCCATTTATATAAAAACAAAGAACATAAAATGTGTACATGTAGCATTTTATTCCATGACACAGCCCTTTTATTAGCCTGTTCAAGATTTTAATTTAACTTAAATTGCATGTAACAATTCAGATTTCTACACATGAAGTCTGTATTTAAATAAATTTTCCTTCCATTAAAAGTGACCATAATAGTTGAAGGGATTGTTTTGCAGTGTCAAATATTTGAAAGCTATCTTTTTCAATCAAACATCAGATATAAAGTTGTACACAAAACTATTAACTAAATTTTTTCAATTGGTGGCTTCATAATTGTTCAATCTCTTGAAATCACAGGTACTTGAAACAAATTATTTTAAATGGTCTATATAGAACATTAAAAATAATTTAAGTACCTGCGCTTGAAATATATCGTACTTATTCAACTCAACTTTGACAGCGAAAAAAATAAACATTTTAGTCAAACATTGTTACTAGTCATACTCACAATATAAAGTTAAGGAAAGGCCATTTGTTGCCAACATATAGTCAGCTATTGTTGTTTTTTGTTTTTTTAAATTTCAAAACAGCCTTCAAATGTTTTGCAGCTGATTTACAAATGCAGTAGTTACCATAGAGTTGTTTAGTTTCCAGTATATTGTCTGCCTCACGTCCCCACGGCATGTTGTCATCGGAACACTTGTTCGGCATACCGTTGTACCCTATACCCACAATCTTTTTCTCTTCATTCACAATACAGGCACCAACCTAGATTAAATAAAAACATCAATATGATAGAACTAAAGGATGGGGGGGGGGGGGAAATAGGTGCAGAAAGAGAAGATTTATACAACAGAATTCAAATGAAATGTTGCCAGTATCAAATCATACATTTAAACTTTCACCATCACAACTTTCATAAGCCTGCTTATCTAATTGTTTAAGTTTCTTTTCCCATATTATATTATATACTATAATACTAGCCTGAAAGGTAAATTTCAGTAAATTTATATATATAAATATTTTTTCATTTTTTTCTAAGGTCCATCTTACTAACCTGGAGGCATACCTCTTTAAGACAGTATGGTCATGTAACCAGCTCCCGTACAGGACCAGTCTCGGTTTCTTTATTGCCGTTTTCATTGAAATATTTCTGACACTTGAATTTTTTGTTGACAATATAATACAATGTGTGTCTAACCATCTGTTTGCAGCTCAATTGCTAGTTTTCCACAAAACAACATTGAATGAGTCGTAACAGGTCCTGTGACAAGACTGGACCACTGATAGTATATAAAGATTGAACTTTTACCTGTGTCCGTGGGTCCTTACTTCTCTGTGCTGACAAGAATGCTATAGCCATAAAGTAATCACTCCATTCTAAATAATCTTCTCTTTTAGTTGACAAACTTCTTCCAACACTGAAATAGAAATGTTATAATTACAAAGGTCATATGCAAATATAATTCATAGCTTTATATCTGGCTGCATGTGTGCAACAATTTTAATTTTTATAAAAACTACAGAAATCATGTCCTCCTTAAACTTCTAGTAACACAAGTCCTGTGCAATCTCTAATTAAAAATGAAGCTGTTTGTCCTGAATCAGGTTACAGGCACTTTGGAAAAGGTCCCTGGCATAAATTTGGAGAAATTATAAATAAAAATAATAAACCTCATTCTGGTGAAAATGCCATGAATCATTTGGGTAAACCAAAATATTAAACTGGCTAAAAGCTTGTTTGCATGAACAGCAGTAGTCGATGGACGAATATATTTGAGTACGAACAATTCTATATTTATCCAAATTATCGTGCCAATATTATAAAATTCGAAGCAAATTGTGGTATCATGTTAACTTAAAAATGAACTTACGCGTTCGTCCTCGGTGAAGCATTATTAGATGAGCTGTTATTAGCATTGTCAGACATGTTTTCTAACTTTTTAGAAGTTTTCTAACAACAAAAGTGCGGGCAACTGACGTCACTAAAATTTTGGTTCAAAACCACTAAATATAGTAGTACGGTGCCATTTTTTCTGTCAATAATTGAAATGAAAAAAAACAAGTCAACGAAAAGATGCTTCATGAAGATACATGTTATGAAAAGCATAAAGGATATTTCGGTGAAAATAAATCATGTTTTCACAGGAAAACTTGAATAATTCTTTGTAGTTTTTTTTCAAGTCTACTAAACTGGCTACTTTGCCAATTAGGCTTTTATAGTTCATTGTTTTTGCACGAAAATTCCGTGCTTCTATTGGTCCGAGTCCGAGACCACCTGCTTTTGCCAAGGACCATCTAATTTTACAAGCTACTGGTCCGTCAGACCACTTGAATATTTTGGGTGGACTGGTGCATTTGGGAGAATGGTGATTATGTCAAAAACATGTCATATATTTGGTGTTTAAATTCATTTGTCGTGTACATTATAATTATGGTTCATTAATCTCATTATAGTTTTAAAAAAAAGTTCTTAAGTCATCAAAATCTTTCAATTTCACTCGCTAAACTTTTGTATATGCAAGTTAAACGAGTAAAGAATTTGTGATATTAATTTAGTTAGAAAATTAATTCACTCAAATGATGCTGGTACTGCATTTTCTTCAATTATGATATTGTACGGGATATGAATAAACTTAGATTATAGATAGCTGTATAATTGCAGCAAACAAAAGGAATGGGAAAAAATATATCTAGTAACTCTTGGCTACTTATCTTTATTTAACAATAAGATATCCATTTCTTCTACAATTGAAATTACATTAAAAGGTTAAAAATACTTCATGTCAAAAATAAACATCAACCAACAAGCAACTGGGAGGTAAGTATTCTGTATAATTAAAAATATGTAAGAAAAATAAGCTCAGCTATAGGTATTAAATAAAAAATGCTGGTATTATTTTTTATCCATTGGATATTTCCTTGTTTTTGAAAGACAATAATAAGATAATTGAATAGTTTTATTATAATTGTTAATCTCCTAAAGATACTTGTTATGATTATAAGACGTATCAGCAATGAATATTTGATTAATAGTATTAAGAAAATAAGGCAGACACAAATGGTTTCACTATTCACTAACTTGAGTTGACTGTTGAGAGAGGTCATTTCAACATAAAAAAACGTAAGTAGGAGCCCAGTTATGTATCTTAAATGAGATTAAAAACAACAACAACAAAAAATAACGGTACAACAGAATACCTACTGAGTTGCTCTCCTTATTTCCTGATTGGATGAAAATATATATTTGAAAATACCTGTTTTTCTTTAGTTGTTAATAATACATCTCTGTCACAAATTTTAAGCATATTTTTCTAAATCTGCATTTTTTTGTTTAAAAAGGGTAGAATATTTAAATAAATAATAATAATAATAATATAATAATAATAATAATAATAATAATAATAATAATAATAATAATAATAATAATAATAATAATAACAACTGACCACCTGACTTCCGGAAGGACCAACTGAATTTCAAATCTAGTGGTTCGTCTTATCACCTTCCGAGGCCTGCTTGTGAAAGGCGCGGACCCATCGATGGACTTAAAAGTAGGTACATGTACATGTACCTATCCATTTGTTTCGAACCACTAAAATGAAAATGTGTTATCAATGTAGAGTAGTCCTGATCTTCTCTGACAATTAGGGATGGATATCAGAAATCCGTATTTTTTATCATTCTTTAGAAATGTCAAACATGTGTTTGAAAATACTTTAATAATGGATTAAGAGCATGTTAGATATTCAACAACTGAAAAAAAAAATGCGCAGAACATGTTGTGGCAAAATCTATAAACAAACTAGTACTTTTGACTTCCATACGAAATACTAATTCATTAAATATACCATTTGCAAACAGAGACAAATCAGAAAAAATATATGTTCATGTAAATCGCAAATGAGTATTTTTTTGCATACTGGGACTAGAAACCCAAGATGGGAAGTTTTTGAGAAATAAAAAATATAGCAATATCAAGGCATAGGGGCCTTTAAACGACAAAAATAAAAACCGCGAAAGAGAATTAATCAGTCACAAGAAGTAACTAGGCTGTTAACAGAATTACTTCCCATTGTCCGTTAGTTTCCTGCCTTTAATTAATACAGTCAATTGCTTACACTTAGCCTAGCCAGTAAAAATAAATATCAAAATTGCAATTATTGAACGAAATACATTAATATGAACTTTGTGCAACATGATAAATTAAACATTTATATGCTTGGTCGCAAGATATATTCAATCTTAATACCAAATAATCAGCGATGTTTGTTTTGTCTGCTGTTCGGAGACTGCTCGATACATAATATTATACATGCTATAATTCCAATATTACAAAATTATTACGTAATGAACATTTGGCGCTGTGGTGTCTAACATTAAAATGCTGATATTTCATTCACCACAGGCCTATGGCTTTCATCTTATCAGTTTTTTTTTCAAAGTAAGTATGCAGTGTTCTGCATGCAGAAAACAGTAATTATATTTACATTGTATATTATTTCATTAAAAAGCAATGACTTTAGAAGATGTGTATAATCAATTCCCTGTCGTTATTAGTAATTAACTAAGATCAGTAAAGATATTTTAATGGTACTATGATCGCGAATTCTGGGAAAAACTAGTGTTATTATATTTTTAATCAAGAACCACATTAAAGCATTCCGCGATGTCGTTTAGAAATAAATATCAGCACAAAGTTTATCTAAACTATCAATTACGCTACAAAAAGTGGAAAATTTATTAGATTTCCATGGTAATTAGGGACCGCTTACAACAACCAGTTTTCAGTACAAAGTGACGCCCATTCATGATGTACGGTGTTACATGAACTCCCATTTATTATTGAAGTGGGGGATATACATATCTTGATACGCAACTTAATTTGTCCGCCGACAATTAAACAACGTTTGATTAACTGCTCTATTGTACGGACCATTACCAATTTTTGAGGGACCACATTCTCTTTAAAGGTTGGGATTTAACCCTTACCACGCTTAATAACTTAAATGGAATTGTCAAGTTTTTAATTTGGACAAAACATTCTTTATTTTAGGGAAAATCTTGATATATATACTAACTGAATAGCACACGATGCAGGCAATGATCAGACGGCACGTGCGGATAGGCTGATTGTGGTCTGCACGTGTCACATGGGAAAAGTCAGTTACCGCCAGTAGGCTACGGTATAAAGTGAATTCCGACGCTGTCCATAGTGATCACAGAGCGATTTTCTAGTTTCTCTGATTTAGAAAGACCTCAGTTGTTCGTTTATGCTTAATTTAAATGCACGTGATTTCAAGCACGTGATATCAAGCACGAGCGGGCACCTCAGAGAAAACATCGAACTTCTGCACGCTAGCTGGGTAGCTTCCTCTTGCAAAAAAACCTCATGTTCCCGGGCAGGATTTAAATCCACAGCAGCAGACGAAGACCGGTTACGTCTCTTAAAGACCGAGTGAAACAAAAATGAAATATAAGAAAGAAAATGGCCGTATATCTCATTGTCTATGTAATCTCTATGATTTTCTTCCATTCACACACATTAGATAGAATCATTCTTTAGACAAAAATATGGGTTTCGTGAAAAATAACACATCATTACTATATTCGTCGAATGACAGGCATTCAATTATCCCTTATTTTTTATCATTTATACATTAAAGGGTTAACATGTGACTTAAGTACTCGAAAAAATTACATCCACTTCGTTTTGTAACATTTTTTTCATTGAAAATTGCAATACTAGGAAATCATATTAGCCGAATTCTTCGAAAACATATCAAATTGAAAATTATTGCCAAAAAGCTATATTATTATTTTGGATAAATAATATATCATAAAGGGACAGATGTCGTAAAATCTCTTTATGCCATCAATTCCGGAAACGAATGACACAATGAAACTGTCGTCTGCGGAAGGAGGTAACTACAGTGTGTGCCAGGGAGTGAAATATGCTACTCCGTCACCCACTCTGTGGATGGAAATTTGGCGAACCATATCCATAAATTATATGTCTGGGTACGTGTCAAAGTGCTGTATCAGTTTTGAAATAAAGATTTTCCATACTTCAAATTTTGTATCAAAATGGCATTAATACTTCATCACGACCTTGTGATATTATGCTTTAATAGCCATATCAACATCGGATTTAACTTCATCATTGATATTTACGTACACGAACGTGCAAATTTCGTCTGCAACCGTATTTTATAATGTATGAGTAAGTGTTTGGGTCACACTGTAAAAATTCATACAACAACTTTCCCGCTTAAACGATAGACGAAGACCAAAGGTAGGGGTCCATACTCCGGCACGGAAGCAAAACTACACTAACTAGCAATCGCAATTTTTCGACCCGTTCGCCAAGCTTTGGATGATGATTACTGAAAAAAGGTGAGACGTGCCGATTCCCTTGCTCCATTCATGTTCCAATAGCAAGATGGACTAGGTCATTTCTGAGACATCTGGAACATTTATTAAAAAGCCGGCATTTGCTTTGAAATGTGACTTGAATTTCAATTTATGATATTCAAAGATGACTTTGCTAAACGTCATTTTGAACTGACCTAAAATATTCAACACAAACATTTGGGAAACAAATGTAGTTTTAAATACCTTTGTCAGAATGCGACAATGTGACAAAGTAAAATAATAAGAGTCTTTTCAAGCATATAATGTCATTTTTTTCTTGGACTTTATCTATTTAAACGAGAGATAAGACTTGCTATAGTTTTCACCTAGAGTGTCAGCGGTCACGAAAGATTCAAATTACTCGGTGTCAAATTTTGTCACTTTTTACCCTAGATTTAATCGAACGAAATGAATACATGATAATTATGGTACATGATACATATCTTGCTGTTTAACATGTGAACAAATAATCAAACGAACCAGTGTCAGGTATTTCGGACACGACAAGAAAGTCACACATATTTTGCCATTTTATTTTTTATTAAAACTAATTTAATTTAATTCTAATACGTGTAACGTTACTTGCTCTTTAAA